TGCCCGAGTTGCAAGGCCGGTTCCCGATCCGCGTCGAGCTCGACGATCTCACGAAAGAGGACTTTGTCAGGATCCTCACCGAGCCCCGCGGTTCGCTCACCAAACAGTACGCGGCGCTAATGGAGACCGAAGGCGTTAAAATCGATTTCACCGCCGACGCGATCGACGCCCTCGCCGAGTACGCGTTCTCCGTGAACCAATCGACGCAAAACATCGGCGCCCGCCGGCTCTACACGATCATGGAGCGGATGCTCGAGGAACTGTCGTTCGAGGCCGCCGACATGAATGGCGCCTCGGTGCCGGTCAACGCCGCGTACGTCCGGCAGCGACTAGAGGAAGTGACCCAAGACGAGGACCTCAGCCGTTACATCCTGTAGTCGTAGCCTCCTTGCAAGTTCTGATTGTGAGGGTGGCGCCGACTTGGCGACGCGGGGCCTACCGCCAGAGGGGGCGAATCGCGAGACTTCGTTGAGCAAACCCGGCTCGCTTGGTCACAATAGCTGGGCGGCCCGTCAAAAAAGTCGGGCGGACCGCAGAGCAAAATACTCATCCGAATACCGACGCGACCCACGAGTGCATGCCGTGAGCCTGCCCCTCCGAGCCGAGAATAACCCGAAGTTCTACAGCCGCTTCAAGTGGCTGGGGCTCGGCGCGATCGCCTTCATGCTTTACTGCCTTTACGACGGGTACATCAATTACCCGGCGCAGATGGAGCGTGGCCACGCTTTGATGGCGATTGCCGAGGACGTGCTTCCGGCCGAAAAAATTCAAGAGATTAATCAAGCCGGGCATGGGCCACACGACGCCTATCTGCTCGTCAAGAAGCAGATGCCCGACTATCCCGAGCTGAAAGAGGCTTGGGAATCGAAGGTGGCCGCCGAAGGTTGGCCAAAGATCCCGCCGAAGAAGCTCCGCACCGAGGGTGACATCCTCGGCCAGTATGTGATGGCGGTCATCGCCTTAGCCGGCGGCGTCTGGTTCCTCACAACGGTGCTCCGCACCACCGGCCGCTGGTTCGAGCTCAACGAGAACGGCATCACCACACGCTGGGGTGAGTCCTTCTCGCTCGACCAAGTGACGGCGATCGACAAGAAGCAGTGGCGTGACAAGGGCATCGCCCGCGTCCGCTACCAGACGCCCAGCGGCCGGCAAAAGACCTTCGTCGTAGACAACTACAAGTACCACAAGAAGACGACCGACGCGATCATGCGTCAGATCGAACTCGGCGCCGGCCACGACAAGATCGTCAACGGCAAGCCCGAGCCGGAGTTGAACGCGACGATGGAGGAGACGGT